TCTCATTATGTGTACCAAAGTTAAAACTTAACCATGAGTGGGATGCTTTCTATTTCAGGGGAAGAATCTCGTTTGGACAGATTGAGTCTGGCCCGACTGACTCAACTTTTCTTAACCTCAGTCCTTGAATGCCATTTCTATAAGGTAAAAGTATAAACTGTGTGGCTTTATTTTTCTGTGGCAGCAGTTTTCTTTTGTCTGCCCTTAAGTTGTTTAAGTTCTTTCATTTTTGATCTGTCTCAGTAACCTCCTGAAAAAGCAAAACTTTCATTTACTTGGCGTTAGTTGCCACCAGATAGCCTTTTCTTTGACAAATTGACCTTGTTTTTGTATTGCTGTCCTTGAAGCTCACACTTGTAATACCAGCCCTTTGGAAGGCTAAGGCAGTAGGATCTCTTAAGGCCAGAAGATCATAACCAGCCTGGGTAACACAGCAAAACCTCATCTCTACAAAAAAAAGAGAAAACTTAGCTGGACATAGTGAGGTGTGCCTGTGGTACTGGCTACTGGAGAGGCTGAGATGTGAGGATTGCTTGAGCCCAGAAGTTTGAGGCTGCAGTGAGCTGAGATTGGACCCCTACATTCCAGAGTGGGCAACAGAGCAAGACTGTCTTTAAAAAAAAAAAATAAAAGCTTAGACAGTACCAAGGTATATAAAGACAAATAGATAAATAATGGTTACCCCCCATCTCCTTCCATCCCTAAAGGAACAATGTTAACAGCAGTTTCCATACCCAAATGTATTTGTATACGTGAACGCTGTCCTTTTTCTCTCTTTTTGTGGAGTGGGACTGACTAATAAAAGTGCAGTTTGCTCTTATGCCCAGTATATCATGGATATTCCTTAAGGCTAGTACAGATATACAGGCTGATTTTATGCATTCTTTTTACGAAAGGCGTGATGTCTATCTTGTGTGTATCTTGTCGTTCCACTATTCATGCACTTCCAGGCTTTTCCCAATTTTTGTCTCTGTCAAAAATGCTACCATAAATGTTCTTGCATATCCTATCATACTGGAGACTTTTTCTTTTTTTAATTTATAAACTAGATTCCTATAAGTGGGATTACTGGATTAATTTTTGATAGATAACTGACAGATTTTTTCCCTAATAGTTGTAGATGTCACATTCCCCTGGTAATGATGAAGGTGGCCATGTCTCCCCCACTTCTACTGCAGTGTGTTATTAGTCTCTTTAATTTTTGTTATTCAACTAAGCGAAAAAGGGTATATCACATGTGATTACTTTTTAATGAGCATTCATGAAGTTCAGCATATTTTCAAATGTGTGTTGTCCATTTACATTTTTTGTGAATCGCTTTTCTATGCCTAAACTCATTTCTATTGGGTTGTCTTTTTTTTTTTAAG